TGAAACCAAAGGTATGTTTTCTCACAAATTTATAGCATAAATTTATTGCTTTTCAAATGTTCTAGAGGCCAAAGAGGGATTACTTGGTTCCTAGATTAGAACATCTCCTCAACATTCGCAGTGTTTTATTCTCTTCTTCAAGGGTCAACACCCTATCTTTGTAAGCCTGCAATATTTCTTTAGTTTGCTCAAGGCTAGCTCGTGTCTGCTCCAACCCTTCACGAGTATCCCTCAGTTCTCGTTCTGTCCGAAAGTAAAGGCTCAACATGGAGGATAATTCTTCGCTGCATTTTATGTACTCTTGCCTCAATGACGATAACGCATCAATAGTGGAGTTATTCAACTTTACAAACTCGGCAATGATCTGCTTGATCTCCAGATGTTTGGCCTCCAATGCTCTCGTGTAAAAAGCTAGCTTCTTTTGAAATGGTGGAGGTATGGCCTGCTCAACAATCTCGTACACATCAAATATGAATAGTTGTTGAAAAATGTATCAAGTAATTAATAAATAAAAATATAATGTATTTTTTTTCTTCTTTCAAGGGAACTACAATTGAGTTAAAAACATCTCCTCCTTCTCTCATCAAAGTGTCCTGAAGCGATGGAATTAAGATCAAAGGTGTTGCTGTGAAGCGATGGAAGCAAGCCCAAAAAAGAATGGAGAAAAAATTGGGCACCAGACTTACGTATTTATATGACACCACACTTATAGACACAATAGTTGTATGATATTCTCCACTAATCATTGCTTTGCTTGAACATTTTTTCCTGATAAGTATTTCTAAGAGCTTAGCTTGAAAATCTTGGTGGTAATGTATTGAGAATTCTCTAAGAGTAATGAATGAAGAGAGACATTTTTGCTGTTACCTTGGCTCTAAGAAAAATATTTTCAATATGTAGAGCTTCTTTCTTTAAACCCGAAATTCAAGTTAAAACGAAGGAAGATGAAAAATGTTGAACACTAAATACCTAATATGAACGAAGATTTTTCCACAAACAACATCTTCTGCATGAACTAAATTTTCACAAATAACATCTCATGCTTAAGAAAGAAAAGACCACAAGATTAATAAATTCTGTGAAAAAAAATTATTTACATCCTCTCTCTAATAATAGAGTTAACTGGAGAGCTATTACTTAATTCTCGACGAAATGGATTAAGCCAAAAAATTCAAAATGTCTTACCTTCTTTGACCTAGTTCTTGTGAAGGATCGTTCAAGTCTCCTCTCTAGTTGCTTGAGTTCTCTTATGGATAGGGAAGCCAAACCCTCACCGATTAGGTGTCTGAAAA